CCTCCCTCCTGAGCTTTCGGCTCGCAGCGGTACCACACGGTCCTGGCCCGGTTCTTTGCCTTCCCTGCACCTGGAAATAGAATAAAAACTGTTAGATTTTCACCGTGAGGACGTTCCACTCAGGAGGGATCGGTTTTAAACCGGATCCCACCCGAACTGACAGAACTAAAGAAAAGTAGAAGAACTGCCCGAAGTTAGCCTCTGACCCGTCTGACATTAAAGGGCTATTACACCTTTTTTACACTTTCTGACTAACATTTATTTGACCCTTAAATAAAATCATAAATAATTTCACTGCGTAAACATATAATTATCTATTTTACAGGATTTACAGGTCTGTATGAGAATTGAAGAATTTTTAAAAACTTATCTAGGGTGGTTAGCATAGCGGAGAAGCGATACAATCGCAGTTTTAACATTTAATTAAAACTAAAGAAAATCACCAAAGAGCTGATAAAAGCTTTAGAACATCTGATCCCTAAAATTAGCTGATTTAATGCAGGAAAAAAACGTTTTTGACAAACTGTGACACAGCCTTTAGTCTGGAGCTAACATTCAGACACCGACTTCAGCCCCGTATGTGGCTAACAGCGTTTTTAGCTCCAAACACCGACAGCTAACAGCTGAAAAAACCCAGAAATGTTCCCCTTCTTACAGGCCGAACTCGATGTTCCGTGGAGTGGAGGTGACAAGCCGGCGTTCCTCTTCCTCAGACGGGCGTTAGGAGTTCGGGAACCCGGTGTCCTCCTCCGATAAAACCGGTCTAATCAAACCAACCGGAAAGATGGCGCAGATGGAAACCAACTGTTTCCGGTGGAATCTTTCAAAATAAAAGCACCCCTAGCTCTCAAAGACTACATTAAATGTTTTCACGTTTTGAGAAACAAGGCATGTATTTTAAATGATAAATAAGATATATATATTTTTTTATTTGACTGTATGATCTGGTTGAACTGTAAAGTGCCTTGAGATGACATGTGTTGTGAATTTGGCGCTATATAAATAAACTGAATTGAATTGAAAATAAATCTACAATTAATTTTTTATTTTTATTTTATTCGAAAGAGGAAAAATAAACACGTTATCTGGAAAATATGTCAACTTAATCTAATTATTTGTATTTGTATGTATTAGTTAAAATGAGGCAAAAAGAGAGATGCACGTGATTTTTTTATTTTATAAATCTGAGTCTTATTTTATTTAAATATTTCAGAACATATCTACATTAAAAACACACATTATTACCAGTAGGTCAGTTAGAACACAGCAGAAAACATTTCTCCAGTAAACTTTATTACATTATTATTTTATCTGCTGATGTGCAAATTTGTTTTATTTAGAAAGAATAGTAAATATTTCAGATTTTTCTACACATACACAGAAATAAAATGAAGCACAAACAGAAATCAATAAATCCCCAGATTGTTGATGTAAAATATTTTTTTTTCTTTAAAGCGAGATCGTTTTCCCATGTCTTATTAAAATTTCCGAACCACTTTCAGTTTTTTTTTTTTTGATGATCTATTTTTAATTGATGATAAGCTTTTTTTTTTCCTATATACATTTAATTTTCTTTTATAATTTTACTCGTCAGAGGAAAAATAAACACGGTATCTGGAAAATATGTCAACATCATATCATTCTGTGTATTTTTAGGTGTAACTTAGTTAAAATTAAGCAAATAAAAAGGAAAATCCACATGTTTTTAAAATAAATCTGGGTCTTATTTTATTTAAATATATCCTCACACATATTTCTGACATATCTACGTTAATAATACATAATATTACCAGTCAGCCAGTTACAACAGTTTCACTCCTTTATTATATTTTTTTATTATTAGTTTTAACCCATTATTATTATTCTGCTGATGTGAAAATTTAGAAAGAGCATTTATTTAGAAATAGTTAATTTTTCAGATATGTATACACATACACAGAAATAAAATGACGCACAAACAGAAATCAAGAAAAAAAATTATTGATGTAAAATATTTCTTTCTTCATTCAAAGTCAGATCTTTCTCCTTTGTCTGATTTAAACTTCTGACCCATTTTCGGTTTTTTTTTTTTTTTATTGATCTATTTTAATTGCAGATTTTTACTTTGAAAGGTAAAAAAGGTATCATTTCCGGTATGTGTGGATTAAATTTCTCCTCTTGGCGTCAGTTCCACTCTCCTCCTCCTCCTCCTCCTCCTCCTCTGAGGGAAACCCACCAGGAAATACCAACCGTAGAAAAAGAAACGTCACTTCCTGAACAAGGGAAACGTCATTTTTGACTTTTAGGGATTAGAAATCTAAAAGAACATTTGAAACCTAAGAAAGAAAGACGATTTTTGTTTCTAGACTGAATTTTACTTCTGACCATCAACATATTTTATAATCTAGAGGTAAAAAACAGAAATTAATTATCTAATCTGTAAATATTCTGAACCTTTTAGAGAAAATCTGATTTAGATCATTATTTTTTTCTTTCCTGTTGCTTATATCCTGTTTGTCAACATAAATATTTAATTTTTATTAGAGTCTCAATGAACCTGTTGATTACAGGGAGGATTCCTGCTGCTGGAAGCTGACTAAAATATGTATTTTATCTATTTGAATTGTATTAATTTATTACTAAATTTATATTTTTTCTATTAATATATACAGAGTTTATTTGCAGGTTATCTTTGTTGTATGATTTTTCTTATTAATTTTTTCTTGTTCTGAGATAAGACAGGAAGTGATGTGGATCAGTCCACTTTCTATAAGTGTAGGGGCCTTAGAAAGGACCAGCAGGCATGAATAAAGTAAAAAAATTAGGAATAGATAACTTTGTAATCAGTTTGGACAGGCTGATGGTGATTTAAATTTATTGAGAAAAGGGAGACAGTTAGATAAAAAAGAGGTGGAAGATTATATTAACAAAGAATATTCAGAGTATATACAAATTTATACAGATGCTTCTAAAACATTAAATGAAAGAGTAGGTATAGCATTTGTAATCCCAGATTTAAATATTATGAGGAATAAAAGAATAACAGATAAATTGGCAGTGTATACAGGTGAATTAATGGCTATCTTAATGGCTTTAGAATGGATTGAGGAAACAAAAGACAGGGAGGTTTTAATTTGTTCAGATTCAAGTAGTGTATTAATAAGTATTCTAGAATTTAATTCAGAGTCGAGACAAGATATTATATTGGATATTCTTCACTCAATTTTTAGGATTAAAAATGGTGGTTCTGTTGTTAAATTTGTCTGGATTCCTGCTCATATTGGCGTTATCGGTAATGAGTTAGCTGATAGTTTTGCTAAGAGTGCTGTTAAAAAGGATATTGATTTAAACATTAACATTAGTAAAAACGAGTTAAAGAATATTATAAAAATGTATTTCAAGAAGAAATGGCAAGAACAGTGGGATAAAGGAGGGAATGCTAGATTTTATTATAGTATTCAAAAAAAGGTTGGAGAATTAAGAAAATGTAATAGAATTAAAAAAGAAGAAGATGTTATATCTAGAATAAGGTTTGGACATACAAGATTAAATAGTACTCTTAAAATAATGAATAAGCATAATACAGGGTGTTGTATTTGTGGGAATTTGTAGAAACTGTCCAACACATATTTTTAGAATGTAATAAATATACTCAGGAAAGAGAAATGTTGTGTAGAGAGTTAGACAGGAATAAAAGTAAACTAGATATAAGGGAATTGTTTCAAAGGTCATCTGGGGATGTAGTTTTTGGGAGTATTTTAAATTTTCTAAGAAGAACGGGTATTTTAGGGAGAATATAATAGTTTGTCTGGTCCATACTCCATTCTGGAAGGTGGCGGTAATGCACCTATAAGTTGTCTGCCAACCGCCATTAAAAAAAAAAGAAGAAGAAGAAGGACCAGCAGGCAGAGCAGATATGGTGGCAATAAGCTTATAATGGGTGGAGGAGGTTAGAGCAGACAGGGTGGTGGTCTGGACTGATTCCAAAGCAGTTTTAGAAAGTTTTCAGGGAGAATGAAATGATACAAAAAGATTTAGTATTAGAAATCCAGCACAGTCTATTTAGATTATATAGGGGTGGCAATGATAGTTGGTTTTGTTGGGTTCCAGCTCATGAAGGAGTAAAGGGAAATGAAAAGGCAGACAAATTAGCAAAAAGGGCTTTAGAGGAGGTTATAGCAATTACAATTCCTTTAGGGAAAGGGGAAGGAAAATCATTTATTAAGAGGAAAGAAATTGAAAAATGGCAAAAAGGTGGAATGAAGATAAAAAAGGAAAAAGATTATATAAAGTACAAAACTCAGTATTAAATAGAAATATAAATGAGAGAAACCGAAGGGAAGAAATAATAATGATCAGATTAAGAGTAGGCCATACTTATTTAAATGACAATTCATATTTAATAGGGAGGAAAAATAATGATAAATGTGAAGGATGTGGAGAAAAATAAAATGTAGAAGACGTATTGATGAACTGCACTGGACAAAATTTAAATCTAGATGAGTAATTTTTTCTTGAAATAAGTGTATTTGTTCTTTGTTTGAGGAGGTAAAAGATGCATTTTGCCAATGGAACAAGACAATTTACACTTAAAATAAGAAAACACAATTGCATGGTCTTATTTCAAGTGCATATGATCTAAATATCTTATTTTAAGAGTAAAAATACTCATTCCATTGGAAAACTATCTCATATACCTACTCAAACAATGGTAAATACACTTTATTTAAGATATTTTTACTTATTTCTAGATCGTTTTTCCAGTGTGTAAAACATCTGAACCTGAAAGGGAGAAATTGAGAAGAGTATTTATCTTCAGAATACAAAATTAAAAAATAGAATTTAATAGATGTAAAACAATGTTGCTACACACTCATGAACAGTAGGTGGCGGTATGCAGCTTAAAGTTGCTTGCGATCCGCCATGATAGAAAAGAAGAAGAGGAAATTCTGGATGTAGTGACACATTCCAGGCTGTAGATGTCGCCAGAACCCTGTGAGAGGATTCCACTGTGTTCCTGAACCACAGAAGAAAGGAAGCAGGAAATGTTGCAGGAGGGGCAACAAGCTGTTGGCTCCTTCAATGCAGAGGAGCAGCTGGGGACTCAGGATGGAGAAGGTGATCAGCTGCTTCAGGAGGAGGCCAGAAGCTGTGACCCGCCTCATCTGCTTCCCCTGGGCAGGGGGGGGCTCCATCCACTATGCTCGCTGGGGAAACGTGCTGAACAGCTCTGTGGAAGGTAACCCACCCTGCAGGACCACAGGTTTCCAACATGTTTGCTCGTTCCTGCCTCTGCATAGAGGGCATGAGGAACCACTGAGTTCCTCACAGTTCTGCAGGTTTATAGCAAGAAAAACTCTTATAGTAATGGGGATTTATTGCTTTAAATTTAATCAAAATTCTATGTAATTAACAATATGAAAAACATGCATGGAGAACATTCCAATCTGCTGCTAAAGAATAAAGCTTCTTAACTTTTTTTTTATTATTGAAAAATACAGAATATTAATGACAAATTCAACAATACGTCAATATTGAACATTACAAGAAACAAATAAGATTACAACTCCTATTAACTCCAATAAAAAAATACAGGCTAGAACAAGGAAGAGAAAGAGGAAAAAATAATAATAATAATAGATTTTATTTGTAACGCACCTTACATTTCAAAGAAATCTCAAAGTGCTACAGAGACCAAAAGAAGAAGAAGAAAAAAAAAAAAACCAACAATTACCAAAAAATAATAATAATAGTAATAATAATAGTAATAATAAAAAATAAAGAATAAATTGTAGGGCCCACAGCAACACATCTCGCACCAAGTGGTACCAAAACCAACAATTGAAACCAACAATAAAAACCACAATTTAAAACAAAACTTACAGTTCTAAAAGGCCTGTTTAAAAAGGTGAGTCTTAAGACCTTTTTTAAAGGCCTCCAAACCTTGTGGGGCTCTCAGGGACTCTGGAAGGGCATTCCAGAGCCGTGGAGCTACTGCCTGAAAAGCCCTATCCCCCATAGTGGCAAGTTTGGTCTTAGGTTGATGCAGGCAGTAAAAGGAGGTGGAGGAACGAAGCCTACGAGAAGTAGCGTGCGATGAGAGGAGTTCACTGAGATAAACACTGAAAAAACTGAAATAACTAATTAAGCAGAAATTCTTCCAATAAATCGGAGAATTTATTTGCTTTAAGGTTCTGCATCTTCTTCAGACGTCGGTTAAAGGAGGAAAGTTCATTTTTGACAGTTCATTTTGCATTACGACATTTGTGTAAAGCTACTTAACTATAGGGCGCCGTTTGTAAAGTTAAGCAGTGAAAAATTAGGAGCAATATTTATGGTTATTTATGGTGTTTTAAGAGAGCTTCATTTTTTTCCAAGTCGTTTTTTCACTGTGTCATTCATTCATCTGTAAAAATCTTACTTTGTTAAATAAATATTCAGTTTGGAACTAAATATTTAGTTTGAGCTAAGTATTTATTTACCAAACTAAATATTTAATTTACAAACTAACTAGGGATGCACGATATAATCGGCCCCCTATCGGTATCGGCCTTTAAAACTGAATATCGGACATCGGCCACCCCACCGATATTTAACCCGATATTTGATCAGCTTCTGAGTTTCTAACGTCTAAAAAAAAAAAAAAAAAAAAACTACTTCTTCCTCAAAAACTTCTTTTTTACAGACTTAAAAACTTCTAAAGACGAGGGAAAAAATATTGATCCATTAAAATATCCCAATATCTTCATATGCTGATATATTGCCATTTAAAAACACCATATCAATCTCTTTTACTAATGAAATATTGCTATATGTCATCGTTATGCTACGAAATCCCCCGAAAATTCACCAAATGTTGCCATATTTTTATATGTTGATATATTGACGCGGTATCGATCTATTTTACTAACAAAATCTCACAAGAATTAGCAAAATATCACGAGAGTTTGTAACAGAACGATGAAGTTTCACCAGATTTTGAAAGTAAAATAGATCGATACCGCATTTTTAAAAATCTATTTGATATCAGCATATGAAAATATATTTGAGTATATTATTTTTCAAAGTGTCAGAAATGGATAACAAAACTGCTATTTTCAATGACTACTTATTTTTGTCCAGCTTTAACATCGGTATCGATATCAGTTATCGGCTACATGAGTTTTAAAATATCGGCATATCGGATATCGGCCAAAATCCCGATATAGTGCATCCCTAGAAACTAACTATTTAGCTCCAAACTGAATATATATTTAACGAAGGTTTTTATAAATGAATGAATGACTTGGGGAGGAAATAAATCGCTTATTATTCTCTTAAAACGCTAAATAACCATAAATATTGCTCCTAATTTTTCACTGCTTAACTTTACAAACGGCGCACCATAGTTAACCAACTAATGACAAGTAAAACTGGATGATGTTTTGTAAAAAAAGGAAAATATGTGAAAAACAAGTTAAAAAGAGTGAAACCAAAGATCCAGTTTCTCTGTGCTACAAAGATCCGTCTCCATCTTTGACTCTTTGGATATTTTTCTTTCTATTTAGGGGATTAATGGAACCTTCTCTGTCTGTCTGCTTCAGTGTTTGCCGTCAAACTGCCGGGCAGAGAGAGTCGAGCCAGAGAGCCGTTCCATGAGAACATGCAGCAGATCGTAGACGAGGCCATTTCTGCTCTGCTGCCGCTGCTCAGGGAGAAACCGTTTGCTCTGTTTGGTCACAGGTGGGAACGCCTCCCAGCCGGGGGTCTCATAGGTGGGGGAGTTCTGGGTAGTTCCATACAGCTGCCTCTGATTTCAGGGTAAAGCTTCCCTAAAAATGGTGAAAGATGCTTCATTTCTGAGAAGCAGCTCTGCATTAAAGGAAAAGTCGCTCATATTCAGAATTCAAACTTCTGAAAGTTCTTTAAATCTGAAATGATTCCATCCTGTTCAATAAATGATCAGTGTTTTTAATTCAGAGTAATTTTCATGTGAATGTGCTTTACTGGAGGCATCCATGTTTGTCAAAGAACACTACTGCCACCTACTGGTTAGTGACGTCACGGTGCGGTATCGGCTGTTGATCAAGTCCCAGTGCTGTATCTGGTGTTTGTCACAACGCGCTATTATCCAAGTCATCTTGAAAACATTCTTCTTCCAAATGTTGGCTACATATTACAGGTTTTTTCTCTGGCCAGAAGTTCGATGGCAAATCCTCCCTCTTCAAGTTGGCGATCCAACGACCAACCCGTCCGTGGAGGATCAGGAAACATGGGCGGTTCTAGACCGCGATCAATGGGGGCCAGTGCCCCTTGTAGACATAATACTCAAACAAACACTAATGATGATCTGTGTTGAAACAGACATGGTTACTGATGGGTCCTTTGCATCTGTTTCATTTTATTTCTTTACAAATTCTGTCTTACTAATTATTTAAAAACACTAAGGTGATAGCTTTAGTGGTACTGAGATAGGATCCCAGCTTTCATCTGCTAAATGTTTTTTTCCAAAACAAATTGCTCTAATTTTTACAGTTTTTCTTGAGTTCTAATTCAGATTTTATAGAAAACATTAATAAAAAAAGGTAAATTTAACTTAAATTAAGTCAAAAATATGTAAAATTCCTAAATCATGACTGTATGTTGACCTAAAAATAATTATAATTAAACCTAATTGAATAGAAATCCCACTTCATGCAGCTCTCTGAATGTATTTGAATCCCCTGCCCTGCTTTTTATTTCATGCTTTTCTGTTCCCCTATGAAAACACGCTGGCCCCTTTCTGGCCCCCTCCTAGCCCCCTTCTGGCCCCACCCTGGCCCCTCCCTGGCCCCCTCCTTGCCCCCTCCTGGCCCCTTCCTAGCCCCCTCCTAGCCCCCTTCTGGCCCCACCCTAGCCCCTCCCTGGCCCCCTCCTTGCCCCCTCCTAGCCCCCTTCTGGCCCCACCCTGGCCCCTCCCTGGCCCCCTCCTTGCCCCCTCCTGGCCCCCTCATAGCCCCCTTCCTAGCCCCCTCCTAGCCCCTTCCTGGCCCCCTCCTAGCCCCCTCCTGGCCCCCTCATAGCCCCCTCCTAGCCCCCTCCTGGCCCCCTCATAGCCCCTTCCTGGCCCCCTCCTGGCCCCCTCCTTGCCCCCTCCTGGCCCCCTCCTGGCCCCCTCATAGCCCCCTTCCTAGCCCCCTCCTAGCCCCCTCCTAGCCCCTTCCTAGCCCCTTCCTGGCCCCCTCCTAGCCCCCTCCTGGCCCCCTCATAGCCCCCTCCTGGCCCCCTCATAGCCCCTTCCTGGCCCCCTTCCTAGCCCCCTCCTGGCCCCCTTCCTAGCCCTCTCCTAGCCCCCTCCTAGCCCCTTCCTAGCCCCTTCCTAGCCCCCTCCTGGCCCCCCTCATAGCCCCCTCCTAGCCCCCTCCTGGCCCCCTCATAGCCCCTTCCTGGCCCCCTTCCTAGCCCCCTCATAGCCCCCTCCTAGCCCCCTCCTGGCCCCCTCATAGTACCTTCCTGGCCCCATTCCTAGCCCCCTCCTGGCCCCCTCCTAGCCCCCTCCTGGCCCCCTCCTAGCCCCTTCCTAGCCCCTTCCTAGCCCCTTCCTAGCCCCCTCCTAGCCCCTTCCTAGCCCCTTCCTGGCCCCCTCCTAGCCCCCTCCTGGCCCCCTCCTAGCCCCTTCCTGGCCCCCTCCTGGCCCCCTCATAGCCCGCTCCTAGCCCCTTCCTGGCCCCCTCCTGGCCCCCTCATAGCCCCCTCCTAGCCCCCTCCTGGCCCCCTCCTAGCCCCCTCCTGGCCCCTTCCTAGCCCCCTCCTAGGCCCCCTCCTAGTCCCCTCCTGGCCCCCTCATAGCCCCCTCCTAGCCCCCTCGTGGCCCCCTCATAGCCCCCTCCTAGCCCCTTCCTGGCCCCCTCATAGCCCCCTCCTGGCCCCCTCCTAGCCCCCTCCTAGCCCCTTCCTAGCCCCTTCCTGGCCCCCTCCTAGCCCCTTCCTAGCCCCCTCCTGGCCCCCTCCTAGCCCCCTCCTAGCCTCCTCCTAGTCCCCTCATAGCCCCCTCCTAGCCCCTTCCTAGCCCCCTCCTGGCCCCTTCCTAGCCCCCTCCTGGCCCCCTCCTAGCCCCTTCCTAGCCCAGTCCTGGCCCCCTCCTGGCCCCCTCCTAGCCCCTTCCTAGCCCCCTCCTGGCCCCCTCCTGGCCCCCTCCTAGCCCCCTCCTGGCCCCCTCCTGGCCCCTTCCTAGCCCCCTCCTGGCCCCCTCCTAGCCCCTTCCTAGCCCCTTCCTAGCCCAGTCCTGGCCCCCTCCTAGCCCCTTCCTAGCCCCCTTCCTGGCCCCACCCTGGCCCCTCCCTGGCCCCCTCCTTGCCCCCTCCTGGCCCCCTCATAGCCCCCTTCCTAGCCCCTTCCTGGCCCCTCCCTGGCCCCCTCCTAGCCCCCTCCTGGCCCCCTCATAGCCCCCTCCTAGCCCCCTCCTGGCCCCCTCATAGCCCCTTCCTGGCCCCCTCCTGGCCCCCTCCTTGCCCCCTCCTGGCCCCCTCATAGCCCCCTTCCTAGCCCCCTCCTAGCCCCCTCCTAGCCCCTTCCTAGCCCCTTCCTGGCCCCCTCCTAGCCCCCTCCTGGCCCCCTCATAGCCCCTTCCTGGCCCCCTTCCTAGCCCCCTCCTGGCCCCCTTCCTAGCCCTCTCCTAGCCCCCTCCTAGCCCCTTCCTAGCCCCCTCCTGGCCCCCTCATAGCCCCTTCCTGGCCCCCTTCCTAGCCCCCTCATAGCCCCCTCCTAGCCCCCTCCTGGCCCCCTCATAGTCCCTTCCTGGCCCCATTCCTAGCCCCCTCCTGGCCCCCTCCTGGCCCCCTCCTAGCCCCTTCCTAGCCCCCTCCTAGCCCCTTCCTGGCCCCCTCCTAGCCCCCTCCTGGCCCCCTCCTAGCCCCTTCCTAGCCCCCTCCTGGCCCCCTCCTAGCCCCCTCCTGGCCTCCTCCTAGTCCCCTCATAGCCCCCTCCTAGCCCCTTCCTAGCCCCCTCCTGGCCCCCTCCTAGCCCCCTCCTAGCCTCCTCCTAGTCCCCTCATAGCCCCCTCCTAGCCCCTTCCTAGCCCCCTCCTGGCCCCTTCCTAGCCCCCTCCTGGCCCCCTCCTAGCCCCTTCCTAGCCCCTTCCTAGCCCAGTCCTGGCCCCCTCCTAGCCCCTTCCTAGCCCCCTCCTGGCCCCCTCCTAGCCCCCTCCTAGCCCCCTCCTGGCCCCTTCCTAGCCCCCTCCTGGCCCCCTCCTAGCCCCTTCCTAGCCCCTTCCTAGCCCAGTCCTGGCCCCCTCCTAGCCCCTTCCTAGCCCCCTTCCTGGCCCCCTTCCTGGCCCCCTCATAGCCCCCTCCTGGCCCCCTCCTAGCCCCTTCCTAGCCCCTTCCTGGCCCCCTCCTAGCCCCCTCCTGGCCCCCTCCTAGCCCCCTCCTGGCCCCCTCCTGGCCCCCCTCCTAGCCCCTTCCTAGCCCCTTCCTGGCCCGCCCCTCCTAGCCCCCTCTTGGTCCCTTCCTAGCCCCCTCCTAGCCCCTTCCTAGCCCCCTCCTGGCCCCCTCCTAGGCCCCCTCCTAGTCCCCTCCTGGCCCCCTCCTACCCCCCTCCTAGGCCCCCTCCTAGTCCCCTCCTGGCCCCCTCCTACCCCCCTCCTAGGTCCCCTCCTACCCCCCTCCTAGGTCCCCTCCTAGTCCCCTCATAGCCCCCTCCTAGCCCCTTCCTAGCCCCCTCCTGGCCCCCTCCTAGCCTCCTCCTAGTCCCCTCATAGCCCCTTCCTAGCCCCCTCCTGGCCCCTTCCTAGCCCCCTCCTGGCCCCCTCCTAGCCCCTTCCTAGCCCCTTCCTAGCCCAGTCCTGGCCCCCTCCTGGCCCCCTCCTAGCCCCTTCCTGGCCCCCTCCTGGCCCCCTCCTAGCCCCCTCCTGGCCCCCTCCTAGCCCCTTCCTGGCCCCCTCCTGGCCCCCTCCTGGCCCCCTCCTGGCCCCCTCCTAGCCCCTTCCTAGCCCCTTCCTAGCCCCCTCCTAGCCCCTTCCTGGCCCCCTCCTGGCCCCCTCCTAGCCCCCTCTTGGTCCCTTCCTAGCCCCCTCCTAGCCCCTTCCTAGCCCCCTCCTGGCCCCCTCCTAGGCCCCCTCCTAGTCCCCTCCTGGCCCCCTCCTACCCCCCTCCTAGGCCCCCTCCTAGTCCCCTCCTGGCCCCCTCCTACCCCCCTCCTAGGTCCCCTCCTACCCCCCTCCTAGGTCCCCTCCTAGTCCCCTCATAGCCCCCTCCTAGCCCCTTCCTAGCCCCCTCCTGGCCCCCTCCTAGCCTCCTCCTAGCCCCCTCATAGCCCCTTCCTAGCCCCCTCCTGGCCCCTTCCTAGCCCCCTCCTGGCCCCCTCCTAGCCCCTTCCTAGCCCCTTCCTAGCCCAGTCCTGGCCCCCTCCTGGCCCCCTCCTAGCCCCTTCCTAGCCCCCTCCTGGCCCCCTCCTGGCCCCCTCCTAGCCCCTTCCTAGCCCCCTCCTGGCCCCCTCCTAGCCCCTTCCTGGCCCCCTCCTGGCCCCCTCCTAGCCCCCTCCTAGCCTCCTCCTAGTCCCCTCATGGCCCCCTCCTGGCCCCCTCATAGCCCCCTCCTAGGTCCCCTCCTAGTCCCCTCCTGGCCCCCTCCTAGCCTCCTCCTAGTCCCCTCATAGCCCCTTCCTAGCCCCCTCCTGGCCCCTTCCTAGCCCCCTTCCTAGCCCAGTCCTGGCCCCCTCCTGGCCCCCTCCTAGCCCCTTCCTAGCCCCCTCCTGGCCCCCTCCTGGCCCCCTCCTGGCCCCCTCCTAGCCCCTTCCTAGCCCCCTCCTGGCCCCCTCCTAGCCCCTTCCTGGCCCCCTCCTGGCCCCCTCCTAGCCCCCTCCTAGCCTCCTCCTAGCCTCCTCATAGCCCCCTCCTGGCCCCCTCCTGGCCCCCTCCTAGCCCCCTCCTGGCCCCTTCCTGGCCCCCTCCTAGCCCCTTCCTAGCCCCCTCCTGGCCCCCTCCTAGGCCCCCTCCTAGTCCCCTCCTGGCCCCCTCCTAGCCCCCTCCTGGCCCCTTCCTGGCCCCCTCCTAGCCCCTTCCTAGCCCCCTCCTGGCCCCCTCCTAGGCCCCCTCCTAGTCCCCTCCTGGCCCCCTCCTGGCCCCCTCCTACCCCCCCTCCTAGGCCCCCTCCTAGTCCCCTCCTGGCCCCCTCCTACCCCCCTCCTAGGTCCCCTCCTACCCCCCTCCTAGGCCCCCTCCTAGTCCCCTCCTGGCCCCCTCCTACCCCCCTCCTAGGTCCCCTCCTACCCCCCTCCTAGCTCCCCTCCTAGTCCCCTCCTGGCCCCCTGCGATGCAGGAAGATGGCAGGAGGGAGGGGTTACTATATTTGGGCAAAAATGGCCGCTCCCAGACTCCGTGATCGATACTAAAATCAATGTTTTGATTTATTTTACTGATTAACACTGAATTCATTAAATCATCGTGAACCTATTAGTTTCAGGTATAAATAACGATCCATTCATTATTTCTTGCTAATCGGACTTTTCCTTTAAAATTAACCCGACTTTTAACGGAAATCATTTCTTTCAGTTTCGGAGCGCTCACAAGCTTTGCGGTTGCAGAAGATCTGAAGAAGCTTCATAACCTGGAACCGGTTCATCTGTTTCTGTCCGGAGCTTCTGCTCCTCATGTGAGTTCTTCTGCTTATGCTTCAGGCTGCAGGACCAGGAACCTGAGCTGGGAACCTTGTTTGCTTATGGTTCTGGTTTCAGGGTTCCCACAGGTCCTTAAAATTGCTGAAGGTTTGTGGATTAAAAAAGATAATTTGAAGGTCATGGAAAGCCTTTGAAAACAGCCTTAAATAGACACCTGTCATTGAAAGTCCTGATGTTTTTGTGTGTTTTTACGTTTTACATGGATGAACCTGTGGTTATTGTTTTTTTGTTCCACGTTTTAGCACAAAGTTTCTCTTCAAACTTTTCTCTTTTCTCAGATTAAATTTTATAATAATATTTATCTTTATCAACTTTATTTTCAATAGTTTTTTTAATGAAAATAAATGACATTTTATATTTTCAGATTTGTTTTATTGAACTTTCTCAGATTGACTTTTAAGAATTAGATTATTTTCATATTCCAGTTTTCCAGATCCCATTCTCTGCCTTTCCTCTGGCTTCAGGGTTCAGGGCAAATTTCTATCAGTGAAAGAGGCGACATGTTTATATATGACGGAGAATTAGGGCCAGGTTAGTTTTTATTTAATTTAAGAATAAAGTCGTAACATTCCGAGAAAAAAGTTGTAACGTTAGGAGAGTAAAGTCGTGCTTCTTGTATGAGTCGTCATAAAATACAACTTTATTCTCATAATTTTAGGACTTTTTTTTCTCTTGCTATTATGACTTTATTCTTGTTATTTTACGACTTTATTCTCGAAATACAAAAATAAAAATTCTCCGTATTTCTAAATCATGTAACATCATGTAACATGATACAAAAAATATTCCAAGTTTGTGAATCATATTTATTTCAGTTGCGACATAATTGTGTCTATATTTAATGGCGGACATTTATTTTATGATGGGAATCTTATGACCTGTTGGCATTTTTTAATGGCTCCAGGCCAGGCCAACAATTCCCTCTAACGACCCCCCTTTGAGAGACATAGACAGGTATGGGGCATTGCAGGCTAACAAAGAAGCCAAATGACCCCCATTCCAAAGGGGGGGACCCGTTCATCCGTTTCTATTTGCATGTTTTCTAAACTAAAACCAGGCTTTGTTGGGCTGCTGGATAAAACCTGGAACTAAACGCTATTTCTGACATTTGGATTGAAAAAGCTTCCAGGATGGAAGAGAAACGTCTTCAGACTTGGAAACAAAGTCCAGTGGATTGATTTTTTTTTTTTTACTTTTTTAGAATGACTCTGACCTGTATAACTGAGAATCTTTTCAGCAACTGAATCAACACTATGACGGACCGACCAGATTTAGCCTAAAAACCGACGTTTAAATGACATCTGCCGTTTGGGGAAAGAAAGAAAGAAGCTGAGCCTCGTGCCTCAGCTGGCGCCAGATTAACACTGACGCTGTTTTTATTTTCCAGTCTGAGATTCGCGCTAAAGCTCCAAAAAGAAACGAGTTGTCGGACGAGCAGTTCCTGCGGTGGTTAACGTCTATCGGAGGAACTCCTCCAGAGCTCCTGGCGAACCCTGAGGTCCTGAAGCTCTTCCTGCCGGCCCTGAAGGCCGACCTGCACGTGGTGGAGAACTACAGGTCGGATCATCTCCTCGCTGGTTTGGCTTCGATTCAGAAGGAGATCGGACGGTTTCACTGAACTGGTTCCTTCTCTGCAGATGTACCAAACCAGACGCTCCGTTCCTGGCCTGTCCCGTTACCTGCTTCGATGGGAAGGAGGACGTTCCTCACGACTTACAGGGTCAGTCCTTCAACTGCTAACCCCAAACATAAAGATACACCTGCGGTGAGGAGCTGAGAAGGTTGTGGGTTCCACGCCTGATTAAATGTGTCTCTGAACAGCTTGGAGGAGCATCACGTCTGGAGAGTTCACCATCAGGATGTTTGAAGGCTCTCATTTCTACCTGAAGGATGCTGGGAATGAAAAGATCCTGTTAGACCACATCACCAAGGCCTTGGAGACGGCAGAGATGGATTATTTATGATTAAAGGGACTCTCTTAAGTATTTTGGGGGGAAATTTTTATTCAAAGATGTGGTGTGAGTTCATATGAGCCCCTGATTTTTCTTTTTATCTGGTGTTTCACTCAACGAGCTTCTGAAGTCTACCAGGAGATTCCAATGTTACTTACAATCGCATCAGCAGAAACGCGAGGTCCGCGTCAGCCTTGCAGCCTTCTTTTTATTTTAGCTCTCGCCATTCGGAAAAAGCTTGCCCGATATTCACCCGTGTACGACTCCTCTCTCTGTCCGGAGCCCTTTTCCTCTTTCTTGCCTGCTCCGACATGGGCTTTCGCTGCGCTGGTTCCGCCATGATAACTGCACAAATATCGCCACTGTGCTAGCAACGAGCATGCTTTTAACTGGGGGCGTGTAGCAGTTCTCGCTGTAAAACAAGACCGACTCTCGCGAGACTTCTGAGCCTGTGGGTGCGGGCCGAGGGCTCCTGCAATTGCAAGTGCGGTACTTCCCCTACAGACCACCAGGGCGGCCGAGAATACCTTTGTTCGACCTGAAATTACTAATTTAATCATCCAAAACGTTATGGAACACATTAATTAACTGAAAAATGTTGCATAGTGTGCCTTTAAACCAGCCTAACTGAGCCGTTCTGACCGCAGAGGTTCTTTAGCGTCATGAAGGCCGACCAGGGAGGAGGTTCTGGTTCAGTTTGAAGCAGGGCTCGGTTCTGAAACGCTCCCTCTGATTAATCTGAACCAACTGCATGGGCGTCCTGCTAGATGCCACGGTGGTGGCGCCATCATGCTGTGGGGAGGCTTCTGGAGGTATTGACTATGGGGTACCGTTTGTAAAGCAGTCAAAAATTAGTAGCAATATTTATGTTTTTTTTTAGCTTATTTTAAGAGAAATGCGATACTTTTTTTACTGTGTCATTCATTAATTTATAAAAAATCTTACATTTTTAGATAGATATTTAACCTTAAAACTAATATAGATAATAGATATTCCCACGCTTTTAGTTTGGTAGTTTACTTCTGCTTTTCAGCATGGAAATTTACATATTTAGTTTAAGTAAATATTTTATTTGGAGCTAAATATTTAACAAAATGAATATTTAGTTTGGAGCTAAATATTTATTTCACAAGCTAAATACTTAATTTGCAAACTAAACATTTGCTTTGGAGCTAAATACTTTTCAAAAACTAAATATTTAGTTTTGAGCTAAATATTTATTGGACAAACAAAATATTTAACAAAGTAGGATTTTAATAAATGAATGAATGAAATGGTGAAAAATTGACTTAATGCCCCCCTAATTTTTCTCTTAAAATACGCTAAATAACCATAAATATTGCTCCTAATTTCTTCACTGCTTAACTTTACAAACGGCGCCCCATAATAAACATTAGCAGTAGCTGCATAAAGCCTGGAACTCAACGCTTTTTCTGACATTTTGAATTGAAAAAGCTTCTTGGATTTCCTGGATTGTTTTGGTTTTTTTTACTTTTTTGAAGCACTGAGGTCGTTATGAGACATATATTGCAGAACGAAAATAATTTTCACATAATATAATACATAAAAGCAAAGCAACATTAAAATAACATCCCACAGACCTTGTTTATCCTCTAATTTCGGGTAATGCTCCCCTATTTTGCATACCCTAATGGAAAATTGCAAACAACTGAGGAACTGTAAGCCTAAATACTAGGGATGCACGATATAATCGGCCCCTGATTATAAAACTGAATATCGGACATCGGCCACCCCACCGATATTTAACCCGATATTTAATCAGCTTCGAGTTTCTAACGTCTAAAAAAAAATAAAAAATACTACTTCTTCCTCAAAAACTTCTTTTTTACAGACTTAAAAACTTCTAAAGACGAGGGAAAAAATATTGATCCATTAAAATATCCCAATATCTTCATATGCTGATATATTGCCATTTAAAAACACCATATCAATCTCTTTTACTAATGAAATATTGCTATATGTCATCGTTATGCTACGAAATCCCCCGAAAATTCACCAAATGTTGCCATATTTTTATATGTTGATATATTGACGCGGTATCGATCTATTTTACTAACAAAATCTCACAAGAATTTGCAAAATATCACGAGAGTTTGTAACAGAACGATGAAATTTCAGGAGATTTTGAAAGTAAAATAGATCGATACCGCGTTTTTAAAAATCTATTTGATATCAGCATATGAAAATATATTTGAGTATATTATTTTTCAAAGTGTCAGAAATGGATAACAAAACTGCTATTTTCAATGACTACTTATTTTTGTCCAGCTTTAACATCGGTATCGATATCGGTTATCGGCTACATGAGTTTTAAAATATCGGCATATCGGATATCGGCCAAAATCCCGATATCGTGCATCCCTACTAATGAAGCCAACAGAACCACATCAGGAGAGGTTATCATGTTTATAGAAGGAAAGATGGAATCTGGGCTTAGTTCAAGTTTAAAACAAACTCCACCGAAGCCAAAAGTTTCTTCCATTTTATTTCTAAAGCCTGTTTTCCAGTCAGTCAGAAAACATTCACACAAGTTAAATCCTAAGTCCTAAGTTAAGTTAATCCTAAGTTAATCTCTGAAGTCCTGACAAGAAAAACTGAATAAATACATGACTGTCTTTTTTTTATCTTACATAAACATTTTTACAGCAGATATATATTAAGCTCTAAGAAAAATTATAAAAAGCATAAATTCAGATCACAGATTTGATTTTTTTTATGTCCCTCTAATCATAAACGCCCTCATCATCCATGTATTCAGGTTTCTCACATTTGGGAACCGGAAACTCCCAAAGCACTGCTTCATCCAGTTCAACCAGAGTTCCCAGTAGCAGTCGATGTTTTCCGATGAGCACAAAGCGGATGAAGTAGCTGACTTAAAAACAGTATTTTCCTTGAAAGTTTTGATTCTCTGGTGGACGTCCTGGAAGCTGCGCAGAGTCTGAGGTCAGTTTCTGTCTCTGGGTGGAGCTACAGGCGATACTCCTCTCTGTCAGGGCGAGGGGGAGGTGGGGGCAGCTGGTCTCGGCGCCCCGGCTGCTCCTCGGATCGAGTGCTGGATCGTAGAGAAGACAGGCGGTGGAGGTGTCCTCGCATCCATGGCAGCCTCACCTGGGCTCGCTCTGACGGTGCCACCGGGTCCTCCTCCAGCTCGGCGTCCGCCAACCAGGGAGGGATGTGCACCGGCGACCAGTCCTCTAAGTCAGGCATGAAGGCCGGGTTCACGATTCCAGCTGCAAGGAGAGACACAGGAAGCGGATGAGAAACCGGCTGGGTGGAAACGACAGAGGGAGTCATGATGAGGATCTACCTCCTGCTATGTAGCTGGGTCTCACAGGGAAGGAAGCATCGTAGCCTGAAGCACTGTTGCCTTCAGAAAACTCAAAATCTGGAAAAAAGATGGTTTCAGTCAAAACAAGAAGAGAGGGACAAAACCTAGAACAGATGATGGATGTCTATTCTATTAACATTTCTCTCTGTAGAATGGGTCTGTTTTATGTGTTGTCTTCTCAGTTCAGAGGGCCCCCTGCCTGTCTTTGCCAAGGCCCCACATTTCCTATATCAGCCTCATTGGGCACTGGCCGAGTTGCCTAGAGGGCGGCCATCCTCTAGCATCGTGAGACCATCCTGATCTCGCGAGCTTTCAAGGTTTCAGTCGCTAATCAGTCTGGAGACTCTCCGTTAAAGAAAATTTGGAGCCGTTCACCAAAGGAACGTCCAATCAGCGTTGGCTTTGAGGCGGGTTGAGGTGTGACGCAACGAGAAGCGTGACAGTTCAGTCTAAAGAACATGGCGGCTTCAGCCGATGAAACTAGCGTTAGCGTGGCTATCGAGCAAGTTTTATCGGAATTACAGAGTATTTCTTCACTGAAAGAAGAGCAAAACACTGCTCTGGAGGCTTTTCTCAGAGGAAAAGATGTTTTTGCTCTTCTCCCGACTGCTTTTGGCAAGAGTTTGATCTATCAATTGGCTCCTCTTCGTCGTCGCTCTGTTAGTACGTCATATGCTTCGTTGATCTGATTGGTTTATTTGGCCCGTCTATCACCAACATAGGCCAATCAGCTAACCAGTATTTTCGCCCCTTCCCAAAATTACTGCAACGGAAGGTTTTAGATGGATTTGCTCCGCATATCCATCTGGAGGAGTCAGGTTAGCCATCCACCCCCTCGCCGGCGACCTGCCTATTCTCTTATTTTAATCACATGAAAAACAAGTCAGAGATAATATTACAGTTATCTCTTACATCTCACAACTCCTTAAAAGAACAAAACAAATTCTAAAATATATATATATATATATATAATGTATGACACACATGAACTGATTAAAGATCAAATGTTCACATTTGCGTATATAATGATAGAACATAGTTTAAAAAAGAGTTTTGGAAAACGTTTAGATAAACATAAAGACAAAAAGCCTTTAGTTAGAAACAACATACATTTACTATTCACTATGATTTGACAAAAAATTCTTTACAATGACAAAAAATAAATAAAAATGACCATAAAATTAATTTAAAAAAACAAAATAATACCTTTACTGTGTTTTCTAAATCACATTACAACAAATTTTCCTCTATAGATCATAATACTCATTATTAAAGAGCAATCCTTAAAAATACTGAATATTAATAATATAAATATATAATATATGAAAAACATAATCTAATAATATAAAACTCAGTGTTTTTCCTATTAATATTTAATTAAAAAAATATTTAACTTTGCAGATATCTCATCCAGTTTCAGTCAAGTTTAATTTTTAATTTGAATAAAAATATTATCTCTGACTCGTCTTTCATGTGATTAAAATGAGATCTAAGGCGCCTCCTGTTCATTCTGACAGCAGCTATCTGACCCAAGATGGCCGCCCCCTAGCACGTCGGCCTCAGTGCCGACAGCGTCCAACGAGGCGTCTACATATATAATGTCTATGGTTTAAGCTACATTCCAAACATTCCTACATTTCCCATGATTCATTGTGGGGCAAAGCGTGTTGGTCAAGCTTTATGTAAACCTTAAAAAGCTTTGAAGATGTTCTAGGAAGAAATAGAACTCAAATATGATGGATCTATGTTTCTAGATACTGACCTTCATCACCGGACTGGTAGCCTTTATGCTTTCCATTCGGCATCTGAAATGGAAACAAAACACAGACATTGCTTTTATTTCTAAAAATACTGAAATACTCTGCTGTAAATTAAATAAAACCCAGGATTCATCATTAATTGGACACCAGGTGAAGCAGAAGAGAAAGTTAGCTGCTCTCTGTTCCATCATCTGGTGAAGAACTAAAGCGGTTTAAAGACGCTGAGACCTTTTGCTGATCCTCTCTCTTCGTGTGCTTCGTGATGGTCTTCGGTGGAGCCACGCCCCTCTTTCCAGACTTAAAGGACTCCAGACGGTTCCTCATGGTTCTCTGGAAGATCTCCTGGACCTCATCTTCATCCTGGTTGATGCCAAACTGGCTGCGACTGAACTTGTGACGGTGCTTTTGGGCCAGAAAGAGGAGCGGACGTGAGGACAGATGGAAGCTGATGTGTGGGTGTGCAGCTCCTGCCTAACTGAGCATCTTTACCTGCTTCCTGCCTTTGTAGAGATGCTGCTCCAGGAGGTGGTGAGAATTCATCTCCTCTGCTCCTCGAAGTCCTCTCATGTTCTGCTCATGCATCTCCAGACTGACCGACGGTACTGGGTCTCTTCTGTAGAACATTACATCCATCAGCCGTCAAATATATTAGATTTGTTTTGATGGAAAATAATAAATTCTGACAATTCATTCTGTTCCTCATTGGAGCGCCACTGTTTAAATATTATTTACATTTATAACAAGTGATTTATAACAGCAAAGCACACCCTGCTCTATATTCTAGACTTTCAGCATATAAGAACCTACTACACTGCAAAAACAATCTAGAAATACATACACATTTCTTAAATTAAGTGTATTTATTGATTTGAGTATGAAAATAAGATAATCTGCCAATGGAATGATGATTTTTACTATTAAAGTCGTAGGGAAGCGGCCTATCCAACTGTTGCATTTCCGAATTCTTCCAGGTGGTGCTCGACTTTACACGAATGAATAAAGTGAGTGATTGGTTGTATATCAAAAGGGCGGGATTGCTGTGGAGGAAGGTTCTCAAGCATGTTTGGTTGTAGCCGGTTTGTCGGAAGCATCTTGCTAACCAGTTAGCAACTTAGTGCTAGCAGGTTCCCTATGGGAAATTCCATTGGGACCAATTAGCACTAAATTGGTGACTTAGAAACGACGCTGTCAAGGAACGCTATGGACAGAGGAAACATGCAAGAGGAGGAGAGTTTAGTGTCGGAGGTCGTGGATGAGTCTCCTCCGTCATCCATTTTTTATTTAGAGGAGGAAAGCGGGGATGAAGATGTTGTGGAAGAGGACGCCAGGGCGGTAGAAGCTTGGTTTGGTGTAGAAGGCTTCCAGCCGTACATGTTTGAGCCCTTGCCTCGCAACGCTGCCAGTTCTGTTAGCTCTACGCCTGCCGAAGACACAGACGTCCATCCCCGTGAACACTGGGACGCAACTCAATGGGAAAGGAAAGGATTCTGATTTCAACCGTTGCGTATATTAGCTGCGACATATGAATCAAGATGCTATGACCGAAAACATTTGATTGACAGATGACCGTTGATATATGATTGGCTGAATTTAGGTGTTCAGGCTGACGTAGAACTAACTGGCCTGCAGGAGATAAGATTTTAAGAAATTTTCTAACTTTTGGGACAATCTTGTCTGATAAAGAGTACATTTATATACATATTTAAGCCAGAATGATTTGACATTTAAATATGATTTCCCTACGACTTTAATTTGAGTAGGAAAATAAGATGATGATCTCCCAATGGAATGAGGATTTTTACTCTTAAAACAAAATATTTTGATATTATGCACTTAATATAGGACAATGCGGTTGTTTTTTTTCTTATTTTAACTATAAATTTCACATTCCATGTGAGTGTCTCACTTAACTGCTCAATTCAAGAAAAAAATGACTTATTTAGATTTACACTTTTGCAGTGTAAATCTGAACTGGTTATTACCAGATCCTAAAACAATTAAAAAGATGACTTTAGATGCCCAAATATACACCAGAGATTTAATAGTATTGATACGTTGGTTTTTAGACATGCAGTGTGAGCAGGTAGATTGCATCAGAGCGTCGTGAGGTGTCAACTTCTAAACCCTGCAGTTTCGTTGTAAAGTTTGGGCTGTAACTGTGTGCAATGATTTAAAATATCGCACAGTGTATGCCCGCTTTGGCAGGCCAAAGTTCAAACGTCATGACCTTTTCTATCTAGGACTGTATCTAGATGAAGACATCTGGAAAACTGTCCACTGGACAGCAATGTACAGATGACCATGATTAGCCTCATGAGACCATCCTGATCTCGCGAGCTTTCAAGGTTTTACTCGCTAATCAGTCTGGAGACTCTGTTAAAGAAAATTTGGAGCCGTTCACCAAACGACCATCCAATCAGCGTTGGCTTTGAGGCGGGTTGAGGTGTGACGCAACGAGAAGCGCCACAGTTCAGTCTAAAGAACATGGCTGCTTCAGCCGATGAAACTAGCGTTAGCGTGGCTATCGAGCAAGTTGTATCGTAATTACAGAGTATTTCTTCAATGAAAGAAGAGCAAAACACTGCTCTGGAGGCTTTTCTCAGAGGAAAAGATGTTTTTGCTCTTCTCCCGACTGGTTTCTGCAAGAGTTTGATCTATCAATTGGCTCCTCTTCGTCGTCGCTCTGTTAGTATTTCATATGCTTCGTTGATCTGATTGGTTTATTTGGCCCGTCTATCACCAACATAGGCCAATCAGCTAACCAGTATTTTCGCCCCTTCCCAAAATTACTTCAACGGAAGGTTTCCAGATGGATATGCGGAGCAAATCCATCTGGCAGAGTCAGGTTAGACCATGATGGCCACAACCCGACACAGAAGATCAGCACAAACACCTCTGACCAACTGTGAAGCGCAGCGGTGGACGGATGGAGATGAGGGCTTCTTCTGTACATTGCAATCATTCGGTAAACTAGATAAGTAGCTGCTGTCCAGCTTTGCCTCAATCTTTTCATAACTGGAGAAACATCTGGAGCTGAGGAGTAGTTTTGCTTTTGCTTAACGAGTTATTTGACTTAACGAGGGATCAAACTTCAATCAGCCAGAGACAAACTTTAACAGACCTTCAGGGATTCTGGAGAACCGTTCACTCAGAACTCTTAAAGATTTAAAGATTATCTGGAGTCCCACCTCATGGATGAAGCTCCATCCTCATCATCGTCCATGTCCGCCATGATGTCTGGCATGGCGTCTGAGAATTCTTTGCCAAACTTCTTCTTGAAGTCCACAAATGCGCTTTCGTTGCGGATGAACTCCAGAGAGCCTCTGTGCTCACCCTGAAACAACAGGAGACCGGGATGATTCTGTCACCATGCCAAGGTTGGACAGAAGCCCCCCCCAGGGCACGGGTCCTCACCTCGCTCACGTACTGCATGGCGTCCTTCAGGTTCAGCTGGTGGAAGACGGTGAAGAGGCGGTCCTGCTGCTTTCTCGCTGACGGCTTCATCAGGATCCATGACATCCACTTCTCCTCAAAGTTCTTCCACCTTTAAGGAGGAAATCCTTGTAACTCCTGAGTCTGATGGTGATTTTCAAACAGGAGCTCCGGTACTCACTTGTCCCTCAGGTAGTTGTGTCCAATTTGTCCTGAAATGTCCTCAATAGCAATCAGCGCGTGTTCGAACACCTGCAGCAGAGAAAAGGACAGCCGGTGTGACGTCCACCGCGCTCAGAAACGTGAGTGTTTGCTTCAGATATTCACCTTGTTCTGCACTTTTTCTATCAGCATGAGATCAACGTTGGCGGCTCTCTTTACTCTCAGCCATTGGACCAAAGGCTTCATCGTCAGTCCCTGAAGGTCAGAAGGTATTTCAGTCAGAAGAACAGGTCTTGGAGAAGCTAATCATTTATCCAAACATGCCAAAACTAGTGTTGCACCTATACCGATACCAGTATAGGACGGGGCCCCGATACTGCCCTAAAATGGTGGTATCGGTATCGGCGAGTACCAACAACCAGGGCACCGATACCATTTTGAGAGCCATAAGTTTCTTCAACTATTGTCACCCACTCCTGGTAGGCAATAAAAAGTTCTACTGGATTCACTTTGTGTTAGATTTTTTCCTGCTTCACAAAGGTAGGCAGCAGCTTGACAAAGCCATGATGGCAATTATTTTACATTATTATGGTATCGGTATCGGCAAATACTGCACAGCCAGGTATCGAGTATCGGGGCCAAAAAATGGCATCTGTACAACACTAGCCAAAACAAACAACCCCTGGAGACCGGCGGGCACCGGGGTACCGGGCCCAACTGACACTTTCTCATGTTTATCTATGCATAGAAATGGCCAAAATTTCTGGGTTGCATTTATTTATTTATTTTATTTACAAAATACATTCTTTGCTTGGAGAATAGTGTAAAAATGACTCTGTGTGTGAGAGGAGAGAACAGCGGCTGAATGAACCCAGATCTCACCTGGAAAATCACAGTGAAATAGACGACGATGAGAGTCGTGCACACCATCAGGTTCTTCTCCTTTATCTTAGTCTCGTCCAGCAACGTTGCCAGCCCGTAGGCCACGGCCCCTCGCAGGCCGCCATAGCCCATGATCACCTGATCCACAAAATCTATGGGGACCAGCCTGAATCTGTTCAGGATCCAGGTGAGTAAGAACACCCCTGAAACGCAAACATGAGGCGTAAGCTCTGTGACCCGGCCGACCCTGCGACAAACACCGCTAAGCCCCAAAACCTCTCACCGATGAACCTGTAGACCAAGATGAAGAGCAGAGTGAGGAGGATGAAGCCCGTGTTCCAAACCCAGATCACCTTGTCGATGGCGGAGATGCCGAGGAAGACGAAGATGATGGTTTCCGAGCCGTTGGCAAAAACCTTCATGGCGTAACGGACGGTTTCGACGGAGGTCTCAGCCATGTTTGCATTGATATACTTCTGACAGCACATACCGCAGAAAAGAATCCTTCAGAACAGAAACGGAAACGGTCAGAGGAAGCAAATCCTGGAGCTTCAGGGGTCTGTGTTGCAGTCTGTGTTCTGTCAGATGAGCATACCCAGTCAGACCAGCATACCCATAGTCAATGCCCATTTATCCATTTAGTTTATCCCCTCAAGGGGCGTGTATCCCATTAGTCATGTACAAAACAAATATTTAATTACTTACTTTTTGGTGTTTTTCGAAGCGTACAGTGATCTGACCTTAAATTGTTTTTTTGTACATGACTAAAGGGATACGCGCCCGTTGAGGTAGTTTAAAGGGGTGATAGAATGATTCTATAGGGTATCTGGTCCTTCAGGTCTCTAATAGGGTTATAGAATGATTCTATAGGGTATCTGGTCCTTCAGGTCTCTAATAGGGTTATAGAATGATTCTATAGGGTATCTGGTCCTTCAGGTCTCTAATAGGGTGATAGAATGATTCTATAGGGTATCTGGTCCTTCAGGTCTCTAATAGGGTGATAGAATGATTCTATAGGGTATCTGGTCCTTCAGGTCTCTAATAGGGTGATAGAATGATTCTATAGGGTATCTGGTCCTTCAGGTCTCTAATATGGTGATAGAATGATTATATAGGGTATCTGGTCCTTCAGGTCTCTAATAGGGTTATAGAATGATTCTATAGGGTATCTGGTCCTTCAGGTCTCTAATAGGGTGATAGAATGATTCTATAAGGTATCTGGTCCTTCAGGTCTCTAATAGGGTGATAGAATGATTCTATAGAGTATCTGGTCCTTCAGGTCTCTAATAGGGTGATAGAATGATTCTATAGGGTATCTGGTCCTTCAGGTCTCTAATAGGGTGATAGAATGATTCTATACGGTATCTGGTCCTACAGGTCTCTAATAGGGTGATAGAATGATTCTATAGGGTATCTGGTCCTTCAGGTCTCTAATAGGGTGATAGAATGATTCTATAGGGTATCTGGTCCTTCAGGTCTCTAATAGGGTGATAGAATGATTCTATAGGGTATCTGGTCCTTCAGGTCTCTAATAGGGTGATAGAATGATTCTATAGGGTATCTGGTCCTTCAGGTCTCTAATAGGGTGATAGAAGGATTCTATAGGGTATCTGGTCCTTCAGGTCTCTAATAGGGTGATAGAAGGATTCTATAGGGTATCTGGTCCTTCAGGTCTCTAATAGGGTGATAGAATGATTCTATAGGGTATCTGGTCCTTCAGGTCTCTAATAGGGTGATAGAATGATTCTATAGGGTATCTGGTCCTTCAGGTCTCTAATAGGGTGATAGAATGATTCTATAGGGTATCTGGTCCTTCAGGTCTCTAATAGGGTGATAGAATGATTCTAGGGTTAGGGTTACATCAACTCGGTGCTTCGTTTGGATTCACCCGTTTTATGGTGGAAGTTTAGAATTGTGAGATTTGCAGAGAAAGGAGGAGTTGATGGGTTTGAACTTCTTTTTTTTTGTTTTTCGGTACTAGTGTCCCGCTTTTATGGACAGTAGGCGGACAGGAAAGCGGTTATGAGAGAGGGGGAGAGACACTAAGGCCTCCATATATGGGTCGTGTGCACTACCCACTGTTCCACCAAAGCACGCCCCAGGGTTTGATCACTGTACGTCGACTTCACCCACCGAACTATTATTCATCTATGACAATATAAACTCAGTTTTTGCATTTTATGACCCCTTTAAAGTCTATTTTTCATACAAAACTAAAGGGATAAACACGAATCTGACGTCTTGTGCATGCGTATTGACTATGGCTATGCTGGTCTGATGAGGTATGCTCATCTGACAGAACAGCGCATCTAGAGGGGTGGCCGGGGGAGCCATAGCCACCCCTAGCCAATCATTGGCCACCCCAGAAATAATTTCCTAGAACTGCCCCTGAATGTTACTGATAAAACACATCCTCCTGTACTCACGAGAGGATGGCAGACAGAGAGAGCATCTCTGCCGTGAGGTAGGACAGGTATCCCAGGACGAAAATGAAGCCCGGCTCGATGATCTGGATGTTTTTGGTACATCTGGTCAGCAGAGCGACCAGCAGGCCAAAAACGAAGCCAACGAGCGAACCGCCGAACGCCACCACGAAGAAGGAAACTGCAGAAACAGGGAAAGAGATCAGGTTCTCTGAAGCTGCAGGATTTTCCAGGCAGATCTCATCAGATTCCCTGTTAAAAACTCAGAAAAATGTCTGACCTATTCCTTTAACGATCTCCTTAGCATCAATTGCACCTCCTCCGAGAGACACGAATGCATCAAACACGTTGAAGAGCACCTAGAAGATGGAGAAACAAACAACAGATGTTGGTTTGGAGTGTTAAAAACCCTTTAAGAGTTTAAATATTTCAGTACGTATCTTTGATCAAGTGAAAATAAAAAACCTTTTAATTTCATTTTAGTTCTGTTAATTCTATTCAGTTTATTTCTATAGCGCCAATTCACATCATGTCATCTCAGGTCACTTTCCAGTTCAACCAGATCATCCAGTCAGATTGATTCAAAGTTTTCTATCTAAGGAAAACCAGCTGATTGCATCGACTCATTGACTCTTCAGCAATCCCTCACACTAAGCATGCTTGTAGCGACAGTGGAGAGGAAAAACTCCCTTTGAACAGGAAGAAACCTCCAGCAGAACCAGGCTCAGTGTGAGCGGCCATCTGCTGAGGCCCACTGGGGTTCAAGGAGACAGAAGCAGACATAGAAAAAGAAGCATAGATACAAAAGGCAACTGTCAACCAGCTCCACAGGCGGCCCCGTCCAGGAAACACACAGCCAGGCAGATGAGCTCCGAGCCAGCTCCCATGTCAGAGGATGAAGAGAGCACATCCAGTTAGTCACAGTCAGAGAAACAGGACTACACTGGAAAACAGGCCAAGCTCCAACATCTAGAAACAAAGGTGTTGATGGCAGCAGCACAGCTGATATTTCTCTCCAGGATGGAGTCACAGCCAAACAGGAACAGACCAGATGAAGCTACTATGAGAAAAAGCAGAGAGAGCAGAACGTTAGAGATTGAACTAATAGATTCTGCAGAGTGGGAGAATAGAGATAGAATGAAGCAGAATGATGAAAAAGGGGTCCCTATGTCCTCCAGCAGTCTAAGCCTATAGCAGCAGAACTATAGAGGATAACCTGAGCCACTCTAACTAGAAGCTTTGTCAAAAAGGAAAGTTTTAAGCCTTTTGTTAGAAAGCAATCTACGTTTATAAACCATTCATTAAGCTGATTTAAATCAGCAATTATCTACTTTTTCCAAATGGTGGATCAAACTCTGAGAATGACCACTTTAAGTTTTTGGTCTTAGTAAAGAATTGAAAGAAATACATTTTAGGTTTGTGGTTGGCGTATTGCTTTGAATTCATAAATCCCTTTAACAACCACCTGTAGGGGAGATCACGCACAGTCAGGTTATGTCTTTGCACAGCTGAATACGAACCACTGTAACCCCGTCGTTGAGCAACGACTCTCCGAACACCATGATGAAGAGGACCTCGTTGACGTGGACCTGCTCAAACACGGCGATGACCGCCACGGGGTCCACGGCGGCGATCAGGCTGCCGAACAGGAGATACTGGAGAAGCCCGATGTCAATGTCACCTGCAAGACGAAGTTCAGGGGAAAAAATCCACTTTCACAGTAGAAGATGAAACATGGGAGCTTGAATGGATCTGCTGCTGCTGTTCTAATTCAGTTAAGTTTGAATAAAGGCGCTTTTTCAGTGAATTACATCTCAAGTTTCTTTATCTCTAGTTAAAATATCTTTTTTAAAAGTGAATTGGTAGGAAAAAAAACTAAATTAAATATTAATATTACATGAATATTATCTTTGTCTTTTGTCATTTCAGAACATTTTTACTGCAGTTCATTAATTTATTTCAGGATTATTTATTACAGACAACAGAAAATCCCTTTATTTGTCCCACAATGAGGAAATTGTATAACAACTGTATCTATATAGATACAGTTTTTGCTCTAAAGTTCACACACCCTCCCATTAAAGGTAGAGAAGATCAGCTGGCTGTAAAAATATACTGAAATTGACAAAAGTAGTAATAAAATAAAAATGATGAAAAAAAAATTATGAAAAAATTAAAATCATGAAAAAAAAACTTGAACGAATTAACATGCACAAATATTAATTAATAAAAAAAAAAAAAAAAAGAAGCCTGTTGTTGTTGTTGAGCATCACTTTGAGGCAATAATTGATTAAATCAGGAGCTTTCAGGAAATATTAATGTTTCTGCAACTGTTGACAGGGACGATGGTTCAAAGTTCGTATTTTAGAGTTATATATAAAAAAAATCAAAAACAATATTTAGTACATTTTTATTTATTATAATTTTATAAATATTATTTTTCAGTTTTGTATCATTTGAATCACTACTGTGAATGTATAACATCGGGTTTGTAAACTTTCAACTGTATCTAAGCAAAGGTGGAACAGCGCCCCCCAGTGTCACACTGCTGGATTACTTACTTGCCTATAAATTGATTAAAATAAGCTTTTTTTTTTTTTTTTTTTGGTTTATTCTGCTAAATAAGTAATCTTATTTTTTTTTCCATCAACCCCCCCAAAAAGTTCAATATTTTCTTTAAATCTCACATTTCTTTCTGTTTTGTTAATTTTTTCAGGAATTAATTTATTACAGGAAATATTTTTGGCTGGATCTATATCTAGAGTACAATAGAAAATCCCTTTATTGTCACACACACAAAAAAAAAAAAAAATAGAAGTTAATTATATTTTAATTATCTCATATTTCTTTCTATTTCTGTCAGGGATTTTATTTTATTTTTTTTTATTTTCCTCCTAATTATCAGGTTAATTAATAAAAAGCCTAGAATCCTAAAGTTGCTATATGTGTAAATGCTGTTAAAGAGGCCCAGTTACCCATGGCTCCGCCCTGGTGACACCCCCACAGCGACAGCCCCAGGGTGGCAGCGTTCCAGCAGGTCCCGATGATGGCGTAAACCAGGATGGCTCCCATGTTGGTGAAGAAGAGCTTGTTTGGCATGGCGTAGCCTGCGTCCAGGATGACCTGGGGCAGCAGGTAGAAGAAGAACGTAGTGGGGGTGAGCGAAAAGGTCTGGACCTTGTCTGCACCCCAGATCATCCCTCCCAGGATGAAGCCGAAGCAGATGAGCAGAGCGCTCTCTGGGATGTAGGCGGTCACATGGTGGTTGGCCTCGATGACTGGAGGAGAAACACACGGAGACTCTTTAAATAAGACGATAAGGCTGATTTCAGACACACTGAGAAACCTCTAATTATGTCTTCAGTTTACATTCTCTTCCATGAAATCCGCCCAATTTATTCTGAACAATCTCGGCTCACAAAGCAGGCTGTTATTAAGGACTTCAGGCGTCTGAACTCTTTCACCTCTGAACAGAAACACAACCTAATAAACTCTAATCCTCACAGTCCTCTGTCACTTTGGTGTCTTTTTTTCAGTTTAACCAAGTTTTACTATGTTGGATCCATGCAAACATTTTTGCTGATCTTGGTTTGTGATTAATATACTGAAGTAGAGCAGATTCTGTTAGATTATTAATCTTCTTTTGAGAAAATAAGCTCAGAGCCAGCTCCCATGTCAGAGGATGAGGAGAGCACATCCAGTTAGTCACATTTAGAGAAACAGGACTACACTGGAAAACAGGCCAAGCTCCAACATCTAGAAACAAGTGCAAATTTACTTGGCAGTCGGCTTTTGGGAAGTGGATACGACAAACGACAGTCTAATCAGGGCTTACAGACGCAGGAAACAACAACAGGAGTTGAGGTTCATCAGACTTCTAAGCAGAATTATAACTGGAAATCGTGTGTCATGTTAGGGGAGCTAGGATTTTTATGAATGTCTGAAATTTCCTGATTACAGAGGGTGATTTTAAGGAGATGACGCTCTTTGTTATGTGAGAACCGAGCCAGAACTGAACCATGGCGAGCCCTACTGATCAACTAGCACCAGTGTAGCACGGTCGATTGTGTCTGACGCGGTCCGGTTCAGTTTGCGTGCCATTTACACTCAACAGTTATCCCGGTTTCTGTGATCGGACCAATCTCGGCACGGTGTGGAAATGGAGCTGAAGGTTTTGCATTTGAAAGGGCCACAGCACGGAAGGGTTTAGGAGCCCCTGCAGGGACTCCAGGCGTCCAAACAACCAGGTGAGTCAACAAATCTCAACAAGCATCTTCTTCACCTCTGGATTTTACTCAGGGATCAGGGATCGGAAACATGGGCGGCTCTAGACAGGGGTCAACGGTGGCCTGTGCCCTTGCCAATCATGTGCTGGCCCCTGTTATGGCCTCTGTACTAAAGACTTGATACTCATAATGCTTTTTCCTTACTTTGTTTCCTTTACAAATTCTGTTTTACTAATTATATAAAATCAATAAGCTGATGAATTCAGTGATATTGAGAGAGAATCCCAGCTTTCATAAATGCTAAATGTTTTTTAGCTGTCAGATGTCAGGAGTGAGGTGTTACTATATGGGGCAAAATGGCCGCTCCCAGACTCATTGATCATGACAAAAACTATTGTTTTTTTTACTGATTAACGCTAACTTCATTAAATCACGCGAACCTATTAGTTTTAGGCAAGGGCGTAGGTTTGATTTCAACTTTGGTAGGGACACTATTCTTCAGGTTCATTGGTCCTTTGCAAAAAATATGCATGCTCTTTTTTATGCTTAATGTGAGCTTCAGGGCTCATTTTGTTAAAAGAGAACAGCAGCATTTCTTGCTACATTAATACAAATCTTATAAGCACTACATGCACTAGATGCTGTTTATCAATATTTAAAGCATAACTGGCTCTGATGATTGTGGAATTGGGAGTTTTTCCACTTTGAAAAGGATTGCATTTAAATTTACCTGCGACTAAGACAGTGTCTGTTTAACCAAATATAGTCTATATGTGGATTTATCCCGTGTTTTCTTCTGAAGATATAGAATTGTGCAGAGGTAAACCCCACTCTTATTTTTTTTTGTTTATCTAATATGCTCTCTCTGGAATAATACATTCAAGGGACGGAAAATAAATGTATTGTATTTACATGTGCACTGGAACTATAGGAGGAACTGACACTGAGCATTTAAAGTATTAATATTAGAAGTTGTATATCTGGGCTGTAGTTACTCTGTGTAGCTAATTTCATGTATTTTATCTATGGCTGAAACAATCATATTAACAAATTATTTAAATAATCGTGAACTAATTTAGTAAGTGATTAATCGTAAACTGGAGTATAGGGCCACTAAAATGTGCCTTTAGCCGACAGAGCGACCCACTTAGAGCAGGAATTATATCAAGATTGTAAAAAAAATATTAGCATTTAAGAAGTAAAAAAAAAAAGTTTTTGTCTGACAATAATCTCCATCCAGAACTCCTCCAAAGGAAACGTTTAAACGTTTCTGTTTCACCTGGTTTCATTTCATAAAAGATCTTCTTTAAGGAGCCTTTGGCTATCTGATTAAAAGATAAAATAAAAGAAATCCTAACGTTGCTAACTTACATTTCTCAAGTCAACAAATCAAAAAACTCTCTCCTGCTTCTTTAAAGAACTCCAATCAGAAGCTTTCGCCTGTTTTAGCGTAGATAATAAGTTTTTTAATTTGGACTAGTTTCATAGCCCAATATTAATTTATTTTAGCGTCTTTTTTTTCGCGCACATACAGACTAGAAAACACGCAATCAGAAAGAGAGAAGGCGGAACTTAAGGCAGAATAATCAGAGAGTTAAACCGCGCAGCACAGTTGATGCGCTGCTATGTGAAAGGGACAGGAAAGAGCAGGCAGCTGCAGCTACCAGGCAGAGAAGCTGCGAGAGGAAAAGAGGCGGCTGCTGTATAGTAAATTATAAACATGTTGTTTACATCCAATTATTGGTAGGGACAAATAGGTCCTTCCAAAATTTTGGTAGGGACATGTCCCTATGGTCCCTATGCAAACCTACGCCCATGGTTTTAGGTTTAGTGAAAGTGAAAGTGAAAAAGTGAAAGTGAAAGCCCTTTGGGAAACTCCTCCAACTCCCATTGTCATTGTGACACAGCACACACAAGTGAACACTGCACACCATGAAATTGCATTTATGCCTCACCCGTGCAAGGGGGCAGCCCTCAATGGCGACGGTACCATGCTCAGGGTACCTCAGTCATGGAGGAGGATGGGGGAGAGCGCTGGTTAATTACTCCCCCCACCAACCTGGCGGGTCAGGAGTCGAACCGGTAACCTTTGGGATCCAAGTCTGACACCCTAACCGCTCACCCACGACTTTAAATAATGATCCAATGATTATCCCTCGGTGACCCGACTTTTCCTTTAACAACAACTCTCTCCTTGCTGTTCTTCCAGATTCCTCCAGAGTTCCCATAGCTCTCGTCTTCTCTAATTAGCGCTCTGTTTGTCCAGCCTGTCAGTGCAAGTGGACGTCCATGTTTTTGTAGCCCTGCAGGTGGTCCCCTCCCTCTCTTTTCTCCAGATGACAGATAACGGAGCTCTGAGAGTTTTTTGAACTTTGGTATGTTTGATAGAAACTTAGATAGAATAGAATAGAAGGAAGGAACCACTCCACTTTGTCTTTTTTAAATGATTATGAAAATTCAGACCTTTTACCTCTAAATAGAGCTTTACCAGAGTCCAGCAGATTAAAAAAGATTAGATTAGATTGGCTAGTTTCAGCGGGCTGTGTCAGGGTGAGCTGGTTTTGCAGGTGCAGGTAGTTTTGCAGCAGCATGCAGTTGGTACGACCCGCCAGCGGCTGGATTTGGATCACAAACAAGTTTCAATAAAATCTTTTTATGACACAGATTTTATTTATGAGCCTCCCTGTGATTATGTATCTCACTACTGATCCACCCGCATTACAGGCTTTGAAAATGAAAGGTCATGACTGTATGGGATTTCACCTAAATAATCGGAGGCAGCTTCTCCTTCCTGGTGCTTTATTAAAAGCTCCTTTAGACTTTAAGAAATTCGCTTTTTTTTAAAGCATTGTATACATTTGCTTTTCAATTATTTATTATTTACTGAGTTTTTATTGATTGTTTTAACAGCAAGCATGTTTCATTTTGTTTATTCCTCCTGTAAAGCCGTTCCTCGGTGAAAGGTGCGACGGTTGGATGTCAGGAAAATGAAAAATGTTAGACGATAGCTGCAAGTGAAATTCCTCCCGTTGTTCTGTCAGATGAGCATACCCTGTCAGGCCAGCATACCCATAGTCAATATTAATGGGCAAGATGCCAGATTTGCGTTTATCCCTTTAATTTTGTACGAAAAATAGACTATAACCCTTTACAGGGCACTCCGTGAAATACATTGGGAATCAACATTTCCAGCCAATAGTGTCATTGGAATCCAGGACCTAATTACCTTTGTAACTTTAAAAAATATGAATATTTTGATGGCAAACATGAATGTCAATGTAATAACAAGAAACGCCAACTTGCCCGAATATATTAAGACAAAATAACAAAAGTGCTTCTATAAGAATTTAATGGAAAACACTCTGAAAGTGAAAGAAATGCATTTTTTTGGTCCAACATAACCTTAGAGGCATTAATGCTGATACTGGAACTCACATGTATTTTAATATAAGTGTTAACTAGGCTTATAAACTTTTTTACTTTACTTTTTACCTTTTCAATTAGATTTCTACTTTTTTTTTCTTAACTTTTTTAACTTAATATACAGTAGGTAATATATCATTCAAGGGGGGAGTATTGAAAAGGTTGTTGTATATTGTGTATTGATACTTGGGTCACGACACGATATTGTCACAAATTGCAATATCAAGATATATTATGGTATACTACCCAACTAATATCAAAATAAATTTAAAGATCAAAAAGCGAGTGCTGTATATTCAGTAAAAGATATTCATCATTCAGTTATTTTGGTAGCCATTTTGTTTTGGGTTTGAGTCACTCAGCATCTGCTACTGTGATTGATCTACTACATGCAGAGCAAAAGGGCCCCATCTGCCGCAGTGGGGGTGCAGAAGTAGCGCATTGTTTTAGGGAAAAATATGTTTTTTTTTAAATTGATATTAGAAACTTAAGGATCAACATTATATTTGGACGCCAAAAATCATGTTATATTGCCAAATCGATTTGTTTTCCACGCCCCACATTCAAGCAGAGGTGGAAAAAGTACTAAAATATCATACTCAAATACAAGTACCAATACTTGGATGAAA